CAGCTCCGCCCAGCCGCGCGCCGCCGCGGCGAGGACCGGGTCCCAGGAGAGCGGAGGCACGCCGGCGCGGAGGCGGAAATCGTTGTGCGCGGTGAGATATTCCTGCTGCTCGAGGTTGTACGACGGGACGAACGGTGCGGGCGGGTGAGCGGCGGCGCCGGAGGCGCCGCGGCGCTTGAGCTTTTCCCTTGGGGTGTCGTGGTGGACCGTGGCGGAGGTGGCGGAGGCAAGGACGGAGGCGAGGAGGAGGAAGCCCCAAATTCTAGGGCTAGGCATTTTTTTTTTGTGCGATCCTGATTTGGCGCCTAATTGGTGGTGATTTTTTATTTTATTTTTGTAACTTATTTTGAAGGTGGAGGCGAAGAAAGAGTAATGAATGGTGGTGATTTATTTGGGGAAGGTGAATTTGACGCCATTGTTATTATTGCTTGGTTGCAGGAGATTGTGTGGGGTTTGTTCAAACTTCAAAGTAAGGTGATTTTTTTTTAAGGATTTGTGGAAATTTAAATGGTCAATTAAGCATGGAGGAACAAATTTAAAGCACATCCACACACACACACACACACACACAAGGTTGATTTCTTTTTGATTTAGGACTTTGGAAGTTAATCTCACTATTATTAACTATGGAGAAATGTTATTACGGAACCATTCCGTTAGAGTATGTAACAGTCAGTAATAATTGATCTAATGGTTAGAAACTTCGATGGAATAGTTTCCTAACGGGATTGTAGCATCTCCCTTAACTATGATCATGCTAATTTTATTGACCATCTATTTATTATTTGAAAGGGAGAAAAAAAATGTTTTCAAATACACCCTAATCCTCTGTTTGTCCGACCGATACCTAGGTGGGAGACCCCCCCAATCTGATATTATGGTGCCGTTATCAATTTTTTGTATTTGATGTTCCAATTTAATTGATTTTGGTTCATAAAGATTTCAAAATCAATTGCTAACTATTGGGAGTTTTGATTGATGATCGAGAGACAACGTTATATTATTGAAGAAAATGGTTTCTATACATGTGTATTTTATAAGAATCTAACGGCGGAGTTATAGTAGCTTTCGATCAAATTTTAAGGCCTAATTTGATTGGAAAATTTAAATATGTTAACCTACGATTTTAATCAATTGTTGTGATGATGATATGTATTTTACTTTAATTTGGTACAAGTGAAAACGAGGTTGGATATTGTGAATTGTGATAGCGAGCACGGATGCTCGCACTTTTTTTTTTTGCACTAAATTAAACAAAAAGTATAAAATACAACCCAAACAAGGGACACAAAAAAGACGGGATGCTATCAATCCACAAAAAAAAGTCCCGTCGATGAAAACGAAAAAACCCGAGTAGCAATAGCATGTGCAACACCATTATGTTCCCTAGCCACAAAGGAACAAAACCCGCAATTAAGCTTATCCAAAAGCGATAAAATGTCCATCAACACTTGGTGCAACGGATCGAACGGGGAGTTTTCAATCAACCCGAGAACAACTGAAAGAGCGTCTGTTTTCGCACTTTGAATAGAGAAGCCCGAATCTAATGCGAAACGAAGACCATACCTGAGGGCAACTAATTCGGCCTCAGCTGGTGAAAAGGAACCCAGAATGCGAACTGCAAAGGCCGCCCAGCATACTCCTGTCGAATCTCCAAGCCAACCGCCTAAACCAATTGTTGTTTCTCGAACCGCAGCATCACAGAATAAGGTTACATCATTACAGCAATTCCCTTTTCCAAACCAGCTATCACAAGCTGGTGGAAGCAAAACTCGATCCAAATCGAGCCGCCCTGACCGAGCCTTGTTGGCCTCCTCTTGCCAAGCCACCGCAACTGAACAAGCTTGCTCTACCGATTTAGCTTGCAAACCGCGTTTAATTCGATTTCGCTCATGCCAAATGATTCATAGTAAATAGGCAAAAGTAGAAAAATCGGCACCACGACCATTGTTCAAGAGCTCTTCAAAAATAACAGAAAAACCCATACCTCGAATAGGAGCGAGAATAGTCCACCACCCGGAAGATTTCCAAAGCCTCTTAGCCCAATTGCACTCGAAAAAAACATGAATATTAGACTCCCACCTCGAACATCTGGGACATCTAGCCTCCACTACAATATGTCTCCTGAACAGGTTCTCAGCTGAAGGGAATGCCAAGTTACATACCCTCCAAAGGAACATTTTGATTTTAGGGAGGATTTTCAAATTCCACAAAGCTTTCCACCACCCAGCATTTCGCGAAGGCGAAGATTCTGCGGGACCAGGGGATTGTTGCTTGAGATGCTCGCACTTAGTGTTGTATTTAATGGTCGAATTTATGTCTTGAGTGCAGAGAATTTTCTGAATCCTTTTACAAATGATTTATAGGATTATTTATAGTAAGGATGGCCCGATTATTGGTCACAACCGGCAGTACATCAAGCATTAAATTGAAAAAACACACATTAAATGTGACATGTAACCCTATGAGGCTATGACACATAGGCTGGCAGACGTTTGGTAGGTTTGCCCCATCCTTCATCATTAGGGTACAAGTGGCCGTCATTTTAATATTTTTCACCGCCTTAGTGCGCTTAGCTCGGGTCTTCGATATTAACTTTGGCTCATTTTATCCAAGCCTCGAACTCGGTTCTATTGGCTTTAGTATTTTCTGGTCGGTCTTACACTTAAGGTTACCCGACGACCTATGTGTCGTGCTTGACTCTCGCTCACTATTTTTACTCTTGGGTTCAGTTTTCACTCTTAATACTCCAACCCAAGTAAGCGGCTCGACTATTTTTTTATGTCGTATTTGTTCCGAGCCCACCCAACTCAGCTCGGATGTCAACAGAAACCTTCAACGACAATTTTGACAAAATTCAATACAGCATAGGATGAAATGAAATATTATTTTTTTTTAATAGGTCAAATCAAGGGTTTTAAAATATTATTTGATATGAATCCACCCCGGAAGCAACATTGGTTAACTTGGAAACTTGAATAAAAAGTGATAGTCTGAAAGCAGAAAAAAATTGAGTTGCAACATCAAAACATAACCAGAAGGTATCCATATTCAAGTTTGCTTAAGAGCGATTAGAACAGATAATAGCACAAGTTGCAGACAGAAAAAAATAAAAAAATAAAAAAACCTCCAAATAGTAAATAAAACTACATTACATGCGCACCTTTTTTTATTCATATCACAAACTTAAGGAGACTGACTCGTGGAGAAGAACAGGCCCCATTATTTTTATTATCATCATCATCAACCGGTGGGCTTTGGCTTGGGCTGGCCTCCTTTGGGCTGCTGCTGTACCTGTCTCGCTTATTCTCTGCTCGGGCCTCAACATGCGATGGGCTTCAATCTCCAAGTTCATTCCTATCAGGCGATGCGCACCTTTTGTAATTGAAAGAACAAAATGAGTTAGATAAATAGAAGAAAACATGCAAAGCACCTTGAGGAATCAAAATATAAAATGATCATACGACTGATTTTGACTTGTATTACTTACTTCTCCACAGTTGAGTAAATTTTTGCAGCAACAAGCTCTTTCGTTAAAAACTTTACGTTGTTTTCATTTACCAGAAGATAAACAAGCTCAAGAGCCCTCTTACGAATTGAAGGGTCCGGATCCTGAAATCAAATAAACACGGTGAGTTGCTAAACTTTAACTTTAGTCGATAGTAGAAACAAAAGACTAAACAGATTTACATCAATAACCAAAATACAAAATAAAGTTAATGAATTAAATCGGAACATCTCCAGCAAAACTGTACTTTTTAAAGAATCGAAGTGACAGTCAAGAGAATTATAAAGGGAAATTATGAATATAGAAGGGTAATAAAAAAAGGTGTAGTCTCATCACACCTTTACACATTCCAGAATCGTCACTCGATGCTTCTGCACTGCTTGACTATCTAAGGCGATTGCTTTCATCAGCATATTCAATGAGACATATCTGAAATAATGCCTCTTTTTCATCAGATACAAAAGCTACTATATACATGCATCCTACAGCCAATTAAATATCAAATAAAAAAGAAAATACTATGACAACTTTCAACAGAACAAGAAAAAGGTATCTCAGTCACTAAGATCAGTATAGCATATAGATTGGACGGATAGCTCATAGCATAATAATTATCATCCACGTGCGAGTTAGTTTTACTGGATATTACTTCAGCTCAATTCGAATGGCCTATTATTCAATGAACGACAACAGCTCTTGGGATAGTTATCTCGGTTTGATGACAACAAAAATACAAATAATGTGACGTCATTAGGTTAAAAAAAAAAAAAACGGTCTAATTCTTGAATTAATTGGAAAAATAAACCCAAAAATTTATTGTATGATAGATCTAACCAAAAGAGCCTTATAAAACAGTTTCTATACACAGTTTATGCAAAAGCAAAGAAACACACCAAATTCATCCCTAATTCCAAGAAATGCAAATAACAAAGAGGTGTTATTCCCCTACAGAATGACCAAACCAAACGAAATGAGGATGACATGATATTGTTATCACAGCCAGACAAAAATCTACCCAGAATATTGATAGCAAGTACCCTTAATCCTCCATTATCTTCAACGCGCATGATAGTATCAACGCATTCATAGAGAATGCCATTGGTTGCCCGCATTTGACTCAGTCATGGTTGGCACCTACAAAAGAAGTGAACTTCTAGTCTTCTATAAAACAACAGAGTATTTATTGGAAGCACCAATTGAAAAATTCAAGCGCGAATTACCAAGTTCTGATTGACACTCTTGGACGCAACTAAGAAAGAGGTCTTCGGCTTTTATAATGATTTGGGTTTGATTAACCAGAAGAAGTCGACTCAACATAACTGCATCCGGGTATCTTCCTAACACCTTTCTCATTCATTCTGTCCCTCAAACGAGATACACTAATCCACTTATCAGCCTCAGCATAAATATTAGACAAAAGCACGTAACTACTTGCATTCCGTGGCTCCATTTTAAAGAGCCTACACGCCACTACCTCCCCTAAGTCAACGTCACCGTGCAACCTACACGACTCGAGCAGAGCTCCCCAAGCCTCCGCGTTTGATTCAACGGGCATCGATCGTATAAGTTCAAATGCATCCCTCAATTTCCCGCATTTACCAAGAAGGCTAACCATACACGCGTAATGCTCAGCATTCGGGCTCATGGAGTAATCACGGGCCATCATCTCGAAATAACGGCACCCCTCGTCTACTAGGCCTGCACTGCCGCATGCAGTCAGGACCACGGTGAACGCCACGTCATCAGGCCTCACGCCCTCACGGATCATCCTGTCAAACAGCGGCACCGCGTGGGCCCCACGCCCATGAATGCACAACCCTTGCATCATCGAGCAGTATGAGACCAAGTCTCGTCTGGGCATGTCCTCGAACAACCGAGCTGCCCGCTCCAAGTCCCCACATTTGGCGTTCATATCGACAAGGGCTGCCGCCACATGGGCTCGAGTCAGGTCGAATGACCCGCCCGGCTCCATGAGATAGGATTCGATCCATCTTGCGAGTTCCAAAGAGCCCAGTTGAGAGCAAGCGGACATCAGGCCAACCATCACAAACTCATCTGGCCTTAGGCCCGTGGCGCACATCTCACGGAAGGCCCTCACGGCATGGCCGGACTCACCATTCTGCACGTAGCCTGAGATCAAGGCGGACCACGAGACCAGATCTTTGTGGGCCAGCTGGTCGAACAGGGACCTAGCAGCCGCCATGTGTCCTGCCTTGGCGTACCCGTCAATTAGAGTCGTGAAGGAGACCTCACTTCTCACGGGCATTTCATCGAACAGTTTTCTAGCGCTGCTCATATCACCCAATTTGACCAAACCCTTGATCATCGCATTCCACGTGGCCTCACTCCTCACGGGCATTTCTTCAAACAGGCATCTCGCAGCACACATATCCCCAGAATTAATGTACCCCACCATTAACGCCGTCCAGGAAAACTCGTTCCTCAGGGGTAATCCATCAAACACTCTACGCGCGCACTCGATCTCCCCGCACTTTCCATAGAAAGCGATCAGGCTGGAGCCCACGAAGACATCCTCCACGGCCCCACACCTCACGGCGGCCCCGTGGACAATCCACCCCTCCCTCAAAGCTAGAGCATTTGAGCAGGACTTTATTAAAGGAGAAAATGTGTACCTATCGGGAATCACGCCCGAGCTCCTTCTCATCCGACTGAAAAGCGAGAAACACTCGCGAAGGGTAGAGTTCTCGCAGTAGGCCTTTAGCAGTATGTTCCAGAGGTATATGTTCGGGCGGGTGACGGAATTGAAAACGCCGGTGGGGTATGAGAGATTGGTCGGCAGAGCCGCTGCGCAGATCGAGATGAAATGGGCGACCAGGAAATGATCCTGCTGGCAGCCTCTGCGAAGGATGTGGACATGGACTTGGTTGAGATCAACGATGGTCCTGCAGGCTCTTAGGAGGGATAGTACACCGGATGATGAATGCTCCAGGACCGCCGGAAGGGGCATCGGAGATGATTACAGTAGGCGCGGTTCGCCGGTGCATTTGGATTAGGGTTCTTTTCTGTTGGAGAAAAATATAAGTATAATTATTATTTTTTTTTAAATTTTATTTGTTTGGTACAGGATTTTCCAGTTTTCGGATCCACCGGAGAATCACCTAATTCGAAATTGAGCCGGGTAAGACTACAGGGGCGGCAAAGTTCTCCCTCAAAAGTTTTAACACTACTGCATGGAGAATTACCTAATTCGAAATTGAGCCGGGTAAGACCACAGGGCGGCAAAGTTCTCCTCAAAAGTTTTAACACTAGTGCATTCCCAGTTTAAAATTTTATTTTGGTTCCACTGTTTGGTCATAATGGGATTCAATGCAACATTGCAACTTGCGACTTTGATCAACTGATCCGAATCCGACTTTAATAGTATTAACTAAATTTATAAAATAAAAAACCATTTAATGTAATGAAGCATACATTAATTTGTTGGAAATGATATATAAAAAATAACTTGTATAATACTACATGAAATATGCCAACGTTCTATTATAACCAAACAGATATTAAGCAAAACGAAAAGGAACAATTAAGGGTCAAAGATGATACTGTAAATTTCATGAGATTTGTAACCGTTAGATCAACTATTTCTAATGATTACATGATGATCTAACAGTTACAAACCCCGACGGAATAGTTATGTAACGGGACCTTAGCATTTTCTTTAAGATTGTTGGTTTAATTTGATACACATGTCACAATTAGAGCTGCAAACAAGCCGAGTCGAGTCGAGTCGAGCATTGGCCTTATCGAGCATGATTAAGTTTTTTTTTTTTAGCTGATCGAGCTCGAGCTCGATTCGATAAAAAATTACAATAGCTCGAGTTCGACTCGAAATTAAAATGCTCTAGCTTGGCTTGAAAATATTTAAGTAAAAAGGTAAAATTACGATTAAGCATATATGCTAATATATATAATAAGGAGTATTTTAATAATACAACGTCTATCTTTAACAGCTCGACAAGGCAAAATATGGACACAAGCTCGATTCGAGTTCGTACTCGAGCCGCTCGAGCTCGAATCGAGTCCGTGCTCGAGCCGTTCGAGCTCGATTCGAGTTCGAGTCGAACTTTGACTCGAGCGCTCGCGAGCGCCTCGCAAGTCGCTCGATTCGTTTGCAACCCTAGTCACAACTTCATTCACCTCATAAGCAAATATAAACAAGCCAAAAAAAAAAAAAAATCTTTCCATGTTTATAAAATATGCAAATATAATTATTCCATAATTTACATGTATGTGTTAAATATGCATAAATTTGTGTGATAGAAAGACCTCTACAACTCACAATATAAGAGCTACATATGATGACATGCAGTAGTTCTCTTTGCTATTCATTCAGAACAAACCAAACGCATTTCACACAGTATCATCATATGAAAAACTCACAAGTACTCGCACAACTCAACTATGTACCTTCACCTTCTCTTATTCTTGCTCCCAAACAACAGTGCAAAGTAAAACAGAACCCTAAACAAAAACCCCAAAGCAACAGTAATCCACAGGCAGCTCCATATATCCAAATCAACAACTCCTCTCTGTTTCAGTATATCCGGCCCGGCCATTAGGCAAGTCGACCCGTTAATATTCTTCCCCAGACTCCTACTAATCGACTCCAGCAAATTGAGCTTCACCCTGTGCGGCACGTCCTTCAACGCCGTCCCGTCAAACACCTGAACTCCCCTCACGAAGCACCTCGACCCGTCCCCGAACTCGTTCCGCATCACCCCTTCGTACGGGTATTTCACGAGCGATGTGTAGTGGAACCACAGCCAGTACTTAGGTATCCTATCCCGGTCTATAAAAAACCCGCTAAACAACATGAAGTAGGCTAGGATTGCCACGACCACCGTGTAACCGGCCATCATGTTCGAAATGATGCCCGATAGGAAGGTCACGAACGAGCTCCCGGCCCAAAATGCCGCCATTATGAATGAAAAGTAGTAGACGAAGCCCGACGGGCCTCCTGACAAGCCCACAGCCCAATAGGTAGCGGCCGCGAACACGGCGGAGAGGATTGATATGGAAGGAACCGAGGCAGCCGAGTGCGAGACGACATAAGACGAGCGGCGGTACGCGTTGTGGGCTGTCTCGCGCGCGAATATGTGGCGGTCGAGGAGGAAAGCAGGCATGGCCTCGGCGCACGTGTAGAACGTGGTCGAGATGGCGAACGCGAAGAAACCGAAACGCTCTTGGACGCCCCTCGGTGAGTTGTCGAGATTCCGAAAGACGGTGGCGAGTATAGCGCTGGTTACGAGGATTGCGATGAGCCGAGCACTGAACTGCTCGGGGGACCGTCGGGAGTTCGTGAACGATCTTTTGGCGATCACGAGGATTTCTCTCCACATAGGGTTCGCGTATTCGCCGGTGGAAATGCTCGCGCGCGTGGAGTTTTCAAGGGTCGACGATGAGCTCTGGTTTTTTTTCTTCCCCTCGTGCCACTTCCTGTTGAAATCGGCTAGATTCCGGGTTCCGCAAGGAGTTCCCTCGAGCTCGCGAATGAAGTCGAGTGCAAACTCCGTCTTGTCCTCGTTTGTCGGGATCGGGCTCCCGAACGCCGTGAAAAAACTGGGAAGAGCCCCGGGTGGCCCGTCGAAGACCGCTTGGCCGCGCGAGAGTACGATTAGTCGGTCGAGCTGACGCAGAATCCGGTAGCTCGGTTGGTGAATCAACAAAATAACTATACTTCCACCCAGTGCGATTTGACGGAGGACTCTGATTGTCATGTGCGCGCTAGTCGAGTCCAAACCCGAGGTCGGCTCGTCCAGAAAGAGTAAGATCGGGTCGTGGACGATGTGGGTCCCAATAGAAACCCGTCGCCGCTCCCCGCCCGAGACACCTCGCCGGCCCTCGTCTCCGATAACCGTCCCAGCGGCGGCCTCAAGGCCCAACTTGCTAATCAGGGCCCCAACACGGGCCTTCTTCTCGGACCTGGGCATGGCCCACGGTAGCCGGAACTCGGCCGAGAACATTAGAGTTTCCTCGACCGTGAGCATCGGGTGCAAAAGGTCGTCTTGCATGACGTATGCCGATATGGCTTTGAGAAGTTTTGGGTCCAAGAATTTGTCGTTTAGGGTAACGGTCCCCTGTAGGCTCTCCCGAGAAATGCGGCCGGCGAGAGCATCGATAAGTGTGGACTTCCCGGACCCGCTGGCCCCGAGAATGGCCATGATCTCGCCTTCCGAGGCTTGTCCTGAAATCCCGTCAAGCAAGATTTTTGTCGTACCCGATTTACTAGCGTTGTTAAAACATGATGGGATGATTTTCCGGCGGATTTTGATGCTATAAGTGAGGTTTCGAAAGTAAAGGACAAAGGGCGTTTTGGGTGGTCGGGAAAAGTCGGTTTCTCTGATTTGAAGAATCCGACGAGCATTGGGGTCGGTGGACTGGTCTCCGACATACTGCATAAGCTCGCCGAGCGTGTGAGGCATGCTCCGTACGTTTCTTCGGCTAAACTCTTGGAGCTCCATGAAGTGTCGAGGGCCTAAAAACGGCAAGGCGCTCGTCATGGATGGGCTGTCACTTGGACTTTGTGGTACTTTGGCTTGAGATCTCATCTATCGAAGCTATAGTTATAGGAGTAGTGGATGAAGCTATAGCTATATACGAGAAGTGTTGAGAAAAGCGGGGTTGGGGAATGGTTATGTGTTTGTTAAGATTTTCTTGCATCAAGAAACAAGAAAAGACTTTTTTCTCAAAGGCTTTTGTTGGACTGTTTTTGGAATTTGTCATGTAACTTGTGACTGCATGTTTGGTGGTTGGTCTTTCTGAGAAGATGGTGACTTAATTTTGTGCAGGATTAAGTGAGGGGAGTTGCAACTTTTGTTTGTGTTCTTTTTTTTTTTTTTTGGGTTCAGTCCAGTTGATCATTTGTGAATTTGCGTCACTGTTCTACTAATTAGTCAAAAGTATAAGAACAACCAATGAGGTTTCTTGTGATGATTATACCATTTGAATGCAGTGTTCAATTTTCTTGTCCCTCAGTTGTGACTTGTGAGACCTGTATCTCTTTTGCTATAGAGCCATCGGATGACTCGGCTTATGGAGTCATCCATAGTGTGGGTTTGATGGGATAACTTCAGTTTAGTGAGGGTTTGATGGGATAACTTCTCAAACTGAAGTCCTCAAAATCCAAGCCACTTTCAAATTGAACCTATCCAACCGAGTAAAAGGACTCGAAAAGAAAAATTCTCCTCATCCATTTCCAAATCTTGCCACTAAAACATGTCACTAAAACATGTTTGTTCATTTGCTCATTCACAAGAATACTCAGTTCAACAGTAAACCATACAGTTGGAGCTTAATCAGAGACTCAGAAAAGGACAACATGTGAATATTGATTGTGTAATAATGGATAGAAGAAGAATGCAAGCACCATATATACCGATTTCTCAACACACAGAACGAATAAGCAATCGAATTGTTATCAAAATAGCTACTAGCTTACGGTGCCACCAGATTTTTCCAACTACGTTTATTTAGCTTTCAAGAGGACATTGAAGTGAATATGAATGAAGAGCATGAGTGAGATACAGTCCACACAAACCAGGATCAACTAAAGGAAAAGAACCCAGAGTTGTTTTATGTTAGAATTACCAACTCAAACCCAGAGTTGTATTATGTTAGAATTACCAACTCGTCGTAATTCGTCAAACAGAAAAACATGTATCAGTGAGTGAAAGAATGTGCTACATCAATGAAATAATGTACTTAAAAAAACAAGTAACAATTTGCACCTGAACAAAAATATAACACGAAAATAAAAAAATAAAAAACGGAGGCGAAAATAGTGAAAAGACATTACATTTCCATTTTCAAAGGTAGATAGATAACACTCATTGGTCTCTAGAGGAAATTCAAAGTAAAAAAAGTTCAAAAACACGTACACAAATCTATCCATATATAATATTTTCTAAAATAACTCGCGATCAGTGAAAGCAGGGCAGGTACAAAAAACAAAAAAGGACTCGCATTTTGATTGATTTCAAACTTCAAAGCTCAAATTCTTCATCCTTAAGAGCCATCTCTGCAGCCTCTTCTTCCTCATCATCGAGTGCAAAGTACTCATTCTTCTCAACCGGCCTAAACATGTAAAAGATTATAGCATAGAAAGCAAGACTGGCAATCTCCTCGGCTGCACTAGCCACCCACTGGTACTTATAAGCAGCAATTGTCCTGAGTGCAAACACCACAATCCTAGTGAAGTACAAGTACCCAATAACAACAATGTAAAACTGTCTAAAAAGTGTAAGCTTTGCCAGATTCCTTGCGGCCTTCCCATCAGTCTTCGATGTCTCCCTCAAAGACCTAATGGACCAAACAATCGGGAAAATAATCGCACAGCAGCATATAATATCAACCAACAAGAAAACCTGATTCCAAGTTACCCAATCCTTGATAAAGGGACCAGTCTCCCCAATCACAATCGAGGCAACATTTGCCAAGACTTGCAATGGGATCACAATCATCAACACCTTTTTCTCCTTCTCCTGCAAAAAGGGCTTCAAAAACGACCACCCGGTACCAATCAGAACAATCACAGTGAACAGCAACACGACCCGAATAAACTGGAAAATATAAAACAATACATCCCATCCGTGAGGCGTCCCTGTGACCTTCACATAATGTTTGTCCTCTGCAGCACAGAGCAAATTCAGTGCCTTCATAATCACAAGAAGCCCCATGAGCAAATGAATCCTGTGCACAGACTTCTTATTTTGCAAGCAGGTATAGATCCAATAGGCCAAGAACGCAAAATACAGAACAGAAAAGCAGAAGTAGAGCGACGGCAATTGGGTCAGCCCAGCAGACAAATAGTCCTTCTCTCTACCAAGGCCGTCGAGGTTGTAAAGCTCCGTGCGCACATTCATCGTCACCGTAGATTCGGGGGCGCAGTTGGCGAAGAACAGCGAGTACTCGTTCGGGGCGGTGATCGGGTACGAGTGGTTGAACGAGGAGTGTGGCGGAGGAGACAGATCTCGGAAAGTGAAGAGAAGATTGATGTATTTAGAGTCGAGGACGCAAAAGGAAGGGTTCGATTGGAGCTCGAGGAGCACCTGGATCAGGGATTCTTCGGAGAGGAGGAAGAAACCTAACCTGGAAGGATCCGGCGAGCCGACGGCGGACATGACGGAGACCGCCGAGACGGTGATTGTGGCCTGTCCGGTGTGCGTGAACCCGAACCGCTCGAAGAGGATCATGGGCCGGGAATCAGCGGAGATTTTGAGGTTCTTGATCTCGGCGGAGGCGAGGGGCGTCAGGAAGAGGAGGATCGGGAGGAGAAGGAGGAGCTTCGCCATCTCGATCGGATAAACAGAGGGACGGATCAGGCACGGCGGCGTCAGCGGCGGCGGTTGAGCGGAGGAGGAGATTGTGATGGGGATTTAGGTAATCGGAGGAGAAATGTAAGTGATGCTGGTGGAGTTAATTCCAACAAATTACGTGTTTTTGACTTTTCATTAATCACCGAAATGCCCCTTAGATCTATGTTGTCGATTGGGTTGGGGGCCGGAAAGAGTGTGAAAAGGAAGGCCCTCGAAGTTGTGAGTTAGTTCGTTTTGGCCCCGTAAGTATTCATATTCCACAATTGGAACTCATCTTGTCGAGTCGAGTAACTCATGTTCGAGTCCGTGCTCGTTTAAGCGAGTAGTTTGCGAACTTCAAATCGATTGTTCATTTAAAATTTATAAAAAAAAAAAAAAACAAGTTGTCTGTACAAGTTCGACTCGACTAGTTTAATAAAATGTTCGATTATTTATCGAGTTCTGTTCGTTTTAATAAACTAAACAAATGACCCGAACAGAGATGTGTGTTTGTAAATTGTCCGTTTCATTTTACAGCTGTGTACACAAGTAATAGAAACATTTATAATTGGTATTGCATTAATTTCATCAATAGAGTAATATCTGTCGCAACTATCACATAAATCATTTGAAAATGAACACTTAAGTTAGAAACTCATGAACGAGATTCTGCAGAATAAACTCATTGAGATTTGGGATTATCCAACTGCTCATAAAAAGCGCATTTTGATTACCAAATTTGTTGTTTATGGTATTACCAAATTTGTTGTTTATGGTATTTTCTCGAGACGATGTTAGCCTCAAAACAAGAAAAACGAGCTAAAAGAAGAAACTTGTGTGGGAATAAAAGGTAACATTATGTGTCATGCGGTGTGCTTTTGTTTAGTTATTCTTGTGGAGAAAAAATTTCGCTTCGGATTTGAGTTCGGTTTTGTTACATGTCATGTTGCAGTTCATTTATTAATATTTTTTCCATAAGTTCGTTTTGTAGATCGAGCGCTCGATTGAGACAGCCATTGCTCATTGCAGGAGGACCATGTGAAGGTTTCAACAACGTACTTTCATACTAAAATTTCATGATAAAATTTCATGTAATAAGTACATATTTCTTTGTTAAACAAATGGGTTATGACAGGTTCTAAGGTCCATCTTTGGATCGACCAGTTTTTGTTCGGCCCACTCTGCCGAGTCCAAACTTATGGCCCAATTTCGTTCTATGACCTCATGGCCCAATACTTTTAATATTAAAATGCTTAAAGACAAGCTATTGAAAAGGAAAGTGAAAACCAAAAAATAACTTTAAAAAAAAAATCACGTCCAAACATGAGGAGCAATGAGAATATTAGGACTTTTTTTAATAAAATATGAAACTTATGAGAATATATATGTATGTGTATATCACATACATATATACTATTATAATTTTTTTTCACATTAATCCACCCTATGATCATGAATAATGTTTCCTGCCCATTTTTCATTTACTTATGATAGAAACCCGTTACAACTATTTTAATTGAATATAATCATATATTTTTTTATAAAACAAGTCAGGTCAAGATCACAACTATGTTATACGAGTCCAGGTCAAGACATGACAACTGATTCTGATCAGATCACTTTAAATTTGATTGAGTCGCTTGTTGACCTGTCTATATCGAGTCAGATTTTGGATTTGAATCGACCAGATCCCGAATCGACCCGCTTTGGATATTAGAATATTCACTTGTGAGTTTGTACCACATCGTTTTTATAAGGAAAATAGACCTAATTTATAAGTTTAGTGAGCTACTTCTCATTCCACCAATTGGTTTTAGGATAGAACATCACTTGGGCTTCATCTGGACTTTCCCTGTCTTTGGTTCGCTTCATCTGCCACTCGTTTTGCCCATGTTTCTTACAGTGGCAATGCCAATTAAGACAAACTAAGAGAAGGACTAGCTAGGGGGAAAAAAATGGTTTCATTAGAATAGTGACAAGTATAACAACTTTGATGGCATAGTTAATTTGTAGGGGATTTAAAAATAAAATGGAGGCAAAAGAAAAATATATATTACATGCACACAGGCATCTGATTCCTTTAGGCAGATAAAACAATAGAAAAAGTTGCTCAATATGATGTAACTTCAAAAATCAAGAAGCATATGTTCCAAAAGGATCTGGGAAAGAAACTCCAGTTGCCATTTATATTCTTATTCTCGTTATCCATGTTTAATGTAACCAAATATTATCAAAACAACCAACAGGAATTTTCTCAAATGGTAAGCAGATTGATGTCGCTTAAGTAAGGTTTCGGGTTCGAGTTCTTGTGGATGAAGAAAACCCTTGTTGGGAGACTCACCCACCACTGCCAGGTGTGCGACTCGAATCGACCAATAGATTAGTCAGGCATAGCTGCGGATACCGTGGCTGGCTACAAAAAATAATATATATTAGCAAACCAAAATTAATTATAATCTAAAGTATTTATGTCATAGGCTTATCTTACAAACCACGCAACTGTGTTATAAAGACTACAAAAAACATTATTTTTCATTTTTATTAATTTTTATCTAAAAAATTATGTTGTCTTGTGCATAGCCAACAGCATGCGGCCTACACTACTGCTAGACAGTACAATTCGTTTGTTTATTGGTAATTTTCATGACTACAATGATGAGACTAAAGTACAAGAGAATAGATTGAGTTGTAAATGAATCGAAAATTTGCAAATAAAAGTTCGTTCGAACTCGTTTGTGTTTAATAAAAGCTCTTTCATTGTTAATCGAGTCGAGCTCGAACAAAAATACGAGTCTATTTTGTAGTGTTTGAGGAGCTCAATTTGATATATTTTTTTTATTTTTATATTTGTATATGAACATTTTTGATGAAAATTTATGCAGAATGATATTTTTTTTTTTTTAAGACTGAATGATTTCAAACTAATAGATATTGAGTTATCAATGCTTGTCTACTGATTTATTCGAACATGAATTAAAAGAACGAGCACGAATACGGGTTTTCTCGAATAACACACGAAAGAATACGATATTCGTCAAACATAATTGAACACGAGCACAAAATCTTAAATCCTTGTTGAGTTTGATTACAACAATAGAAACAAATTAATTTAAAAAGGGGAGGAACTTGATTAAAAAAAAAAAAAAGAGATGGTAGTATGTTTGTATACAAATTTTTTCACTCAAATTGGATTTTTTGGTTAACTGGAGTTAATTTGGAAAAAGATGGTATGGTTAATTTTTAATAAGATTTTAGATTTATATTAAAATAATATTTAAAATAAAATAATTTAAGTTAATTTGATGTAAAAGTATGAGAGTGATTATATGAAATGATGGTTAGTTAAAACTATGTGAGTAGATGAATAGTGACTTAAAGTAAATCTGATGAGTAAGAATAATTGAACTGTATTATTTATTTATATTAATAATATTGAGGATATTGAAGTTGAGTTGAATGGAATTTCGAGTGAAAAATTTTGTATATTGTGCTACATTAATATAAACTTATAAGACTAATGAGTACATATTTTTTTCCCAACCATTCTTTCATATTTATACCTACTGATTCATATATTAAATGTATTTGTGATGCTTATGTTTTCGACCAACATTAACTGAGGTTGAATAGGACATTTAGAGCTTGATTGGATACGGATTTTATGATCTAATTTAATTGGTTAAAGTGAATTATTTTGAATAAAGTTAATCGAGTGTGTGATTTTGAGTTTGCAATAAATAATATTTAACATATAATAATTAAAACTGATGAGAGGTAAAAGTTGGAGATATATTATTGAAAGTGTTAAAACTCTTGAGGGAGAGCTTTGCCGTCCTTGTAGTCCTACCCGGCTCGATTCCGGATTAGTCGGTTCCCCTGTGGATCCGGAAACCGGAAGGTCCATGTACCAAAAAAAAGTGATAGATAGTTAAAATTATGCGAGCGAATGCATAGTGAGTGAGAATGATTGATTGATATTATTCAACTACGTATATAAAAATTATGAGAGTTGAATTGGATAAAACATAAACACTAATAATGGCACATTACACTTAAAATATTATCAATGAACAAGTAGTTTTATTTTCTATATCAAATTGGTCCTAATAGATTCCAATCTAACCACCTTAGATTGGGTGTCACACAAGACTCCAAAATATA